CTTTGCAGATATATTAAGCAAATGCTACAGAATAGACTAAAATATCAACTTTCTAAAATGTTACATAGAGTTAAAAAAAGATTTAGAAATAGTTAAAATTATTATTTTTACTTGTGTTTTGAATTTTACTATGGGTGTGCATTATCCATCTCAAAAGTACTCACTGACCAGAAAGGCTCAAGAAAATAATTCAAAATGATTAATTACTCAGGGTAGTTGTATATTATATTTTGAAGATGTTGGTAAATATAACCTAAGTTTATTGTAATATCCAAGCTGAGCAATAAAATTTACCTAGTTTTGCTATGTTTCAAAAGCCTTGAACGAGAGGAAAGCTGAAGTTCGTATACAGTATCGTGATGTCCCAGGTGATATATTTCATGGAGAGAGCAAGAGAAATGAGTTGGTAATTAGAGTACAACCAGGTGAAGCTGTGTATGTTAAAATGATGAATAAAACTCCAGGAATGTCCTTTAATATTGAGGAAACTGAATTGGATTTGACCTATGGCAGCCGATACAAGGCAAGATACCCTTGAATTGAAAAGTATATTATGATAAATTTAAAATTACGAATATCAAAACTTAGAAAGCTATAATTTAAATTGACATGAAAGAAAAAAACTTTAAAGAATTAAGTATGAAAATTCTCTAATTGCTGATTTTAGTGATGAATCAGTTTCAGTTGCATAATGCTGCTTCTGGCAATGAATATATTCCACTTTTAATTAGTGTAAAAATAATCATTATTTTAATAGGGACTTGTTATGCCTGATGCTTATGAAAGACTTATTCTTGATGTATTTTGTGGAAGCCAAATCCATTTTGTTCGAAGTGATGAGCTGGCACAGGCTTGGCGAATCTTTACTCCAATACTTCATAAGATTGAAACAGAAAATGTGAAACCAGTGACCTATACCTATGGAACGTGAGTCATTCAGTAGTTCTGAATTTTAGCCATTATATTTCAACTGGTAGTGACTAACTTTTTTTATCTGTATAAATATTTTTGTTAGAGTACTATTAGTGTTCTTGATATGTTGCTTCTGCATTGCTAAAATATATGTATAAACTATATAAATTGGAGCAGTTTCAAAAAAGTAGGGTGGAACTGGATGTGATTGATAATGCTCCAATTCAGTATGAATATTTACTGAAGTCCAGAAATTAAATTCATTTTCAATGCTATTAAGACCTTAGAATTACCAGTCTTAATTGTTTTTTAATTTATATATTGTCAGGTGATATGTACATATTTGGTCTTTAACTAAACAACAACCCTAAAATGGAGCTAATTTCAAGGTTTACTGAACTTAATTTAATAACAAGGTGGATGCAAATCACAATTTGTTTTAACAAAGTTCCTATTTTGAGCTTTGTTTTCTTACAGTGAAAACCTCCCCACCCCCAATCCTGAAATGTGGAATAAAGTCTTAATGTGTTTAGCTATTTTTTGATCAAAATATGCTATCAGTTTGTGGAAATTGTTCAGTTCTGAATGTTGTTTACAAAATTTATAGTGGAAGTTATTTTATTAGTTGTAAATCGTATAGGATTAATCATGTTACCAATGCTGTATGCTCTTATTTAAAATTTGAACTTATTTCAGTCGTGGACCAAAGGAAGCTGATGAATTATGTCAGAATAAAGGGTTCAAGTTCTATGGGACTTACAAGTGGGTGAAGCCAGCAAGTTTGTGAACTGTAATTTTGTGTTATTTTTTGTTTACTTTTTTCTATATTTGATTTTAAAAAAAAGTTAAGATTAATAATGTATGATTGAACTGCCTTTTTTGTAATATTTATGAAACATTTATGTCTTAGATTGGAAAATTAAGTTTACTTGCCTGCTGTGTAAACAAATAACAATAAAGTTATAATGTTATTTCAAGAACTTGACATTTATTTTTCTTCTTGGATGTAAACTTCATGTTTTTTGGTAAAAATTAATTTCTATGAAAACTATATCTATTTTAATTTTACATAAAAGCTAGAGATAGTAATTTGTATGATATTTCTGTTGTCTTCTACTCCCCCCTTGAATAACCTGTATTTATATAAATGTTTTGAAGAATAAATAATAACTAGCAGAGCCTTTTACTAGTTGACAAGCATGATTTTCAAGAATTAGAAGAGCATATAATAATGGCATTTCAACTACATTATATTCATCATATCCTTTGCTGATGATTTTTTGTTGTAATACTACTGTTATACACTTCTAATTCTTGAAAATCCCTAAGAGGCTTGATTAAGAATGTAGTGTTAAAAAAAATAGACCTAACATGATGTCTTATGACAAGTATATTTAATTATAATCATGCTTTGACAGCTTGTAAAAGGTGTTCACACCATAATAATAATGAACATTTTTCCAGGAACTTAAAGAAAATTACAAATTAGCTCTAGTCATTAGGTCCTTGAGAATTGTATTTATGGAATGTGTAATTAATCAATAAAGCAAGTGAAATTAGGAATGTAGATTTTTTTTTTTCAAGAACAGGAATAAACAACAAATTGGAATAATAGAAATTGATGGATGTTCATATGTTTTACGACATTGTGATTGGCTTTTAATATGTTTTTTTATATATCTGTTTTATTATTTCACCAGATTATACTCTTATCAGAACAAAGTGTTGTAATTTACTTTTTATATGAAATATTCACTTCAAGCCACAGTGGCTTTCATTTGTAAATGTACTGTCCTAGTAAAGAATGCATCCTGTGGATGCTACACTTCACCTAAACCTAATATGTACATTCAAATTGATCTGCAATTTTAAGCAAGCTTAAAATAAATAGTAGAAATAAAAACACTTGGTTTATTCTTAGCTCTCTTGGTGAAAATTTAGAAGGCTATTTAACCATACTTAATTGAAGTCATTGCAAATATTAGAAGCTTTGTGTGTTCTTTCTTATGGTCACCTATCTGCAGTCTTGTCTTATACCATCTTCTATTACATGAGTGTAACAAGTTATTGCTTTGCCTTCCTAGAAATCTCAACCCTATATGTATTTATAATGATATGGGGGAGAAAAAACTTCTGTTTTTACAGTGGAAACATTCAAATAGGGTATTTTTAAATACCTTTCATTAAAGTCAACAACTGCAAAAAAATTATAGATCATTAGACTAAGTTTTAAGTTCTGGTTGTACTTGTGTTTAATGTAAGAATGACATTTAAGTGAAATAAACTGTTAAACTCACAGATATCAAACTACCATGAAAGACAAGTTATAAACTGCATAAAATAGATATTTGTATTTTTATGTTGATTTATCAAATTTTTAAATGTTGCCCAAAAGACTGCATTATTTGATAATTAAAGGCTTTAAAGTTTACTTATTACAAGGGAATATGCTACTTCAAGAAAAAGTGAAAGACACAACTGTATTAACTTGTAAAACGTTTCCTACATCTGTTTAATACTATGATGAAACTTGGGGAAATATACACATCATTACACCTGAGGAAATCATTAAGGATGGAGGAAAGAGTAAATATTTTTTTTTCATTGTTTAAAATTTAAAGTTATTCCTTTTCAAACAGTTTTTATCCACAAGTTCACTTATAATTTACATTTTAAACAACTCATCAACTTGAGTCTGTGATTTATATGTTGTTGCAAAATTATGCTCTGCACTTTGGATGTTTTATAATAGTAATGGTCAAATTCCAGTTCATTATTAAAGTAGCTCAGTAGTTGACGTTTTTACACAATCTGTCTTGGATTAGCATTGAGGATTATATCTTATTTGTGCTTTTGCATCTGATATTCCTTTTTTCAAGAATGTTCACCATAGTAAACTGCTTTATTTAGAGGTTTCTACATCCAAGAGATCAAAACGTGCTGTTCTTTTAAACATTGAAACAGTTCCATTATATGCTTGGTTATTTATATGTACAAGTATGTAACTTTAAAGTTTACACAGTGAAGAAATATTCTTATACTCATTTTAAGCATTCAATTGCAATATTAGAACACTAATGTAGAGTCCAATGTATTAAGTACTTATTCAGAGGGTGGACATGGCCTAGTGGTGTTAGCATGCAAAACTGTGAACTTGAGTCTGTGATTTATATGTTGTTGCAAAATTATGCTCTGCACTTTGGATGTTTTATAATAGTAATGGTCAAATTCCAGTTCATTATTAAAGTAGCTCAGTAGTTGGCTATGGATACTGTTAATTAACTGTTTTTACTCTAACACTTCAAAATCAGGGATGGCTATGTGCAAATAACTCTTGTGTTGCTTTGCACAAGTATCAGAAACAAAATAACATTTTTTGATATTTAAGTATATTGGTTTCCAACAGATAAGCTCTAAGCAATCCACAATAAGCAGCAGTTTCAGGAAATGTTAGCAAAGAATCAAAGGAACATAGACAGCTAAGAAAAGAACAAATGCAAATGAACAGATAAGAACAAATTATTTACTCGCAGTATCTATCTTTTTAACCTGACTTACTGACTTCAATGTTATTTATGTGACTTCTGGAGAAGGTTGAAGTAAGAATAAAGTTATATTGCACTGTCAAGTGTAAAAAGGTTTTAGTGTGATATTCCACAATCCTAGCTTACCAAGGTCATGATCATGAATATAATATATTCATACTGATTTGTACCTAGCATAAAACAATAAAATCTCTGTATTGCCTTCAATTTTGATATGACTTGTACACCAAAAGTGATAATACAAAAGCAGAGCCAAATTGGTAGCCATTGTCTAAGATTGAGGAGTAGTGCAAATTTATGATCTTTTACATCCTGTGTGAGGGCATGAATTAAGAAAATGCAGAACATCCAGACAAAATTCTGTAAAAATTTGCCACAATATACATAAAAAAAGACATTATTTTTTAGTTATATAAAGATGAAATATAGTACTTTCTCAATTGTAATAAGTTATTTTGCTTCTTAATAACTGTCTTGAGTATGTTCTCTGGAGAACTTTAATGATTTATACCTTCTTCAATGTATGTTCTTCTAGTGTCTGGTGAACATTAAAAATGTCAGTAAGTTAACAACTTGCATTTACTTCAATTCACTTTTGTTACCTTGTTTAGTGTTTCTCATATGTGTGGTCCATGATACTTCACACGTTGAGTATTTTAAGTGTCAATTAACATAACCAGCTACTAATAGCAAGAAATAATTATAAGATCAATAAAGAGGTGTATATGAGGTGTCATGACTGTTTGGTTTAGTTTTTATTCATGGCTGGAGTTACATTTGTGATTCTCAGCCTGTTGTGTTTGAACCCATAAGGGTCTGTGAGCATTCTAAAGGGGGTGTTCTGTGATGGTCAAAATCAAGTTTCCGTATTGTTGTTAAAAAGAGAAACAATACTGTGTTCCATTAAATAATGTTTTATTTGAAATTTGAGATAATTAGCATCTTTGTCAGTGCTTATTTTATAAATTGTAAGATGAGCTTCTGCAGATAGATCTGAGTATGGGGTGTACAAGATTCCTTTTGGTTTGTGAACACATCAGTGAGTAAAATAAACAAAATTAAGGACCACTGAGTTACATAGAGCAATGACCCTTTTATATAGCTTATACTTACTTGATCATGCTTCTATGGCATCACTTCTCTGGTGGTATGAGTCATGACAAAGAGAAGTGTTGATGCAGAGGTTCATACAAGTTAATATAAGCAAGATGTTTATTTCCCATGTAATATGTATAATAAACATTATTGCTGCTCTACGTAACCTAGGATTGTGGGATACAGCATTAGAACTTTTGTACGAAAAGTATGATACAGACACACCTGATGAACATTTGTTATACTCTTCCCTCTTCAGCAGCCAAAGAAGACAACTAGTAATAATGAGGCCTCAGGACAATTGATTTTTGTGAAACAATAAAGATGGTACTCAAGTATTTTCCTTTGGTGCTTGTGTTTCATTATTATAGTTAATATCTGATCAGAGAGTTGTATAATCTACTAGTTTATCTATCCTTAGAACACATTGTTCAAGTTTTATAGACCACATCTAGCCTATTGGACAACAACTTTTGAAGTTTTATATGGTTTTTGTCCTTAAACCTTTCTATACATAGCCTAAATATTCATATACTGGTTATTTGCTATTTCTCACACCATTTTTGTTGATACCCACTCCAAAAAATCCCATTTTTTATTACTTTAACTAATTAAAACTTTTTCTTCCACAAGCTGAATTTGAAAGAAAAATAATGTAACTTAGTTGTGTAGTGAATTCTGTAACTAAAATTAAAACTGTAATGCTGTGTACTTAGACATACAAAAGGACATGTATTAAAACTTTTAAATTGTAAATACCTTAAGCTTTGGTTATAATGGAAATTTCAACAGTTTATTTTTTATGTGTCATTTTGCTCTAACCAAGAGGCTGTTGGACCATTAGAGGGTTACACCTTTTCTTTGACAGGCACTGTTGTAATAAATGTCATAAGTTTTCCCACCATCTTTTAGTAACCTAAGGATTTTTAAAATTTCTGTTTCTATGCTGTTTTGACATAATAAAGTGGTCCAGAAAACTTGAAATTTTGTTATAGTTGCTTTTGTGTCTGTTGTTCTTGAGCAGATAGTATCTACTTTACCTGTGGGGATGTTGCTGCAACTTCAACCTTTGTGTTGAAATAAATCATTGGCAGCAATGTCCATCACTTGCCAAGTGGATGATTTCTAGAGATTACAGCCTTTGTATGTTGTATGCAAATGACCAGTCATGTGGTAGCACATATTACTTCTGGTTAAAATAGAGGTTACCTGTTAATATCACAAGTAGAGAGAGAGAGGAAAGAAAAATTTGGTTCCATAACCATAGGAGTTATTGCTAGGTTTTTTTGTCTTTGCTAACATGCATATTGGCCCTTGTTTGATTTCTTGAGTGTATG